GGCTTACATGGAGAGCAAAGATTTTTAGAATGATGAGGGTAATGAATGTACAGATGTGCTTTACACAACTGATGTATTATGGATTGTGATAAGAGTTGTATGAGCCCCCAATAAAATGATTTTTTTTAAAAAAGATGGTTCACAAGAAGTTGACCCTTTAGGACTCTCCGTGGGCCCCTCTGCACATAAGCAGGTGGTGCAGGGTGACCAGGAGGCTTGCCTCTCACCAATAATCAGTGCCATTATTTATAACGTGGGGCAGTTAGCACTCCTGCTCTGTGTCTGTATTCTGCCAGGCTAGCTCCTCCATGGAGCTTCTGGGAGAGAGAGTTCTTGCTGTGGAGCGACCACTAGGCAAGGCCACTACTCGTGTGTGAAAAAGAGGAAAGGCTCTCTCTATTTCAGTCCACTGTTTTCCTCCCAGTGGAAGCAGAGAGAGACTGGGACCCAGCCAGCATGTTTAATTTCCTCATACATATATGTGTCCTAGATACAGGGCCACGGTAGGAAGACTTTGTTGAAGAATTGAGTGAATGTCAAGAGAAGGCAGTGAGAGAACAGAGTCCCCACTGATTTGGGCCCACTGTCACAAATGCCAGTGATAGTGCAGGGGCTAGAGACACATAACTGTGGACACACATTAGAACATACACCAACTGACATGACACTAAAATGTGTGTGTGTATGTGTGTGTGTGTTTGTGTGTGTGTGTGTATACATGTACATGGAGGATCTACCAGTCATGTAATGGACATATTTGCGAACAGAGTCTGACTGGTGAGGACACTGAGCTACATGGAATCATGTCTTTGTCCCAAAGGGCATAGTAAAGCTGGATGTCAAGATTCCATGTAGAAGGGAGGGAAAAACCTAATGGAGCCATTGCAGTGAAAAAGGAATAGAATGGAGGTCAAAGAGTGTTGACTTTGGCATTTGAGGACTTGGATTCAAATCTGAACTTTATATCTATTCTCATTTTGTGACCTTGACATCCCCCCATCCCCCTCCCCCATCTTCAGCATCCAAATCTGTACAGTGGAGGCAACATTAGGGTTAAAGGTAGGATTAAATGAGTTGACATTTGATAAGCACTTAGTGCAATGCCTTAGCCCACAATAAGCATTCAAGGAAATGTTTGCTTTTTTTTGTTGTTAATATTATTCCCCAGATGGTCCTGGCAAGAAAAGGCTTTAGGAAAGGCACGGTTTCTTGGAGAAGAAAAGGGGTAACCCAAACTCCATTAACAGTAGGGCAATAGTTAGGGATGGGGGGGCCAGAAGACTTGGATGGGTCAAGTCTTATAGATTCAGAGAAAAGCCCAAGAAAAGGATCGTTAACATACATGTTAGACAGAGGTCACTTCTGTCTGAGCAGTAACCTCTCTCTCCCGTCTCTGCCCTTCTCTTGGCAGGTATGAATGCTGCCGTCAGGGCTGTGGTTCGTGTTGGCATCTTTACCGGAGCCCGTGTCTTCTTTGTCCATGAGGTTGGTTCTCTGCTGTTTTCGCCAACATTTGTTCTGTTTTCAGCCTCACACCGCCATTTCCTCTTCCCTTACTCACCTCCCAGACAGACGTGGCTTGGCGTTCTATCTCCATCCACCCCATCCTCAGCTCCAATAATGATGCCAGGACCCAGAGACCTGCCCACTGGGTCCTCACGTGGTTCAGTTTAAAGGACTGAGTAACTCCGTCTTCTCTCCTCCTTGCCCAAAGTACAGAGACTGAAATGAGTACAGAGTTAGTATTTCACAGCAAACTAGTGTATCCAAGGAGAGAAGACTCACAAGGTATTTCTGCAGTTAGTCTACTTTTCTGAGGTTCTAGCTCCTCTTTAGCTCCCTCCTTCCACTTCCTTTCCAGGCTGCTCCCAGTCTTGTCTAAGCCCAGCTGCTATTCTTCTCTCAAGTGGTATACGTTCTCAAGTCACGTGTCTGCCTAGCCCTCTCTTCCTGCCTCTGGGATCCCCTTCCATCTTTCCTCAGTTGTTCTTAAGACCCATCTGTTACCGAGTCTCCCTGGGAAATCGATTGGGGGAAAGAGGATGAGCCCAAACAAAGAGGAATTAGGATGAGGTATCAGGGACGCTGTCTGCATGCTTCCAGAATGAGGATCGGAACGAGAGCTAACATCGCCTCACCTTCCCTGGGCGCGGTCAATACGACGGTCTCACGAGCGTCCAGGAATTAATAATGGGAGATGGCTTGTTGCTCAGAGAACCTCTTCCCTAAGGATCTTGTCTTAGTCCTGGGTTTGGGAGGAAGTCCAGCAGAGACTGATGGGTGCACTGTGTCCCCCAGGGTTACCAAGGCCTGGTGGATGGTGGAGATCACATCAGGGAGGCCACCTGGGAGAGCGTTTCCATGATGCTTCAACTGGTATGTTCCAGGTGACTCCTGGTCCCTAACTGTCCTGTCCTTGTTTGACCCCCGTCTGGCTTGTGGTCTCCCCAAGTCTCTGTCATGTGCTTTGATGCGGAGGGATTTAGGGACACAGGAGGGCTTATAAACCTGTTTGCCCTTTACTGTTTGTGTTCGACAACACCCCCACTGGTTTCTTGACGGCTGGGTAGAGTGGTCACAGGATAGTGTCCAGAATGGTTTGCTCTTTATGGAAAGGTCATAAGGCAAGATTTGGGAACTGGCAGAGCCAGCCCTCCTCCGGGGCCACAGGGAAGGTCTGGTCCTGAAAATAACCCTGCCAGAGGCTGGAACCAAAGCCAGTCCTCATGTGATGGCAACGAGGTGACCTGAAACCAGAGCACTAAGGAGCAGGAGGAACCGAGGCAGCCCTCAGGGTTGCAGAAAGATGCTAAGAATATCCAGCTATGGCCACAGGCCTTGCTCGCCACACCCCCCAGCTGCTCAAAGTTCTCCTCATAGGAATATGAGGGCCTTTCAAAAAGTTTGTGGAAAAACTCCGTTAGCTTCTCTTTTTCTAAGAACTTTTTGAGGCTTCCTTACACACACACAAACACACACACACACACACACACACACACACACACGAGGGCTTCAAAAATTTTGTGGGAAAAATCCATTATCTTTCAATTCCAGTTTTCTACAGACTCTGAGGCTCCTTTGTGTATGTGTGTGTGTACATAACATACACATGTATATGAGTATAAGTGTGTATGTATATGTCTGCCCATATGTACATGTAAACATATACATACATATATATACACTGGGCTAGCCCAATGGAAATGGACCCATTTGTTGACTACTGAGAGATCTACTAATTACATTTGCATCCCCATTCCTTCCACCAGTCTCCCCGGAACCGTGAGAGGAAATGCAGTATGCAGCTTTGTTAGCCCGAGGAAGGCTCCCCCCAGGCGCTGGGACCTGCCATAAATGTTTACACACAAGCCAGAATTTGCCACCAATCCCCCTAAGTTACAGATGCTCGGGAATTTAGGTGATTTGTGCAGACCCCAAGTAGGGGACTCTGTAAGCCTCTGAGAATTCCAGCCTTCCTATACCCAGAGCTGTTTTTCCCAGGAATACCGGAGAGTGTAGCTTTTTCCACTATGAAGAGAGACTCCCAAGGAGCTAAGGGAGAAAGCTGGCAGGGTCTGCTTACAGCTTGTGAAAAACACTAGGCGCTGGAAAGGAGAAAACACTGCCAAACACTTTGAAAGGAACTCTTTGTAGCAGTTTGGACACAATTCAGTAATGCCATCCCATTCGCGAGAGTTTCCAAAGAATGAAGTTACTGCTACTTCTTTTTTTTTTTTTTTAACATTTTATTAGGGGCTCATACAACTGTTATCCCAATCCATACACACATCAATTGTGTAAAGCGCATTTGTACATCGTTTCTCAAAACATTTTCTCTCCACTTAAACCCCTGACATTAGGTCCTCATTTTTCTTCTTACACCTCTGAGACAGTAAGAAAGGTAGAAGTTATCCCTGAAGCCAACAAACGTTTATGTATTCCCTTGCTCTGCTTAAAGACAATCACTCTGATGACCAAACCTTCAAAGAAATGGCTTAGGTCTTCGCGGTCTTTTAAGAAGTGTAGCGGGGTGTGTTAGAGACGGCTACGATGCTTCTGCTGACATCATGCCTTCTCCTTTAGAAGGGACTTAACGACGTAAGGCTATCAGGGAACTTTCTAGGCAGCCGGTCGCAGTGTTGGGACAGAGGAAATCTCAGCATGTTGAGCCCATATCTGAGGAGCTGGCTTCCATCTCTCTTCCCAAAGGGAGGAACAGTGATTGGAAGCGCCCGATGCAAGGACTTCCGGGACCGAGAGGGACGACTCCAAGCCGCCCACAACCTGGTGAAGCGTGGGATCACCAACCTGTGTGTCATTGGGGGTGATGGCAGCCTCACTGGGGCCGACACCTTCCGTTCTGAGTGGAGCGACTTGCTGAGCGATCTCCAGAAAGCGGGTGAGACGCTGTTTGCATTTTGCATTAACATGGCTTGTTTGTGCATGATGTGTGTGTGTACACGCGAACGCACATAATCTGCACACACACACACACCCTGCATCACTCTTGTTGACACCCATTATCCTCAAGTTGATTCTGACACTTAGGACGGAGTAGAACTGCCTCATAGAGTTTCCAAGACGGTCATCTTTACGGAGGCTGTACCTTTTTTCACCGAGCAGCTAGCGACTTTGAACTACCAGCCAGGCTCCTAACCATCACACCACCAGGGCTCCTTGTGAGCACGACCTACCTAGACACAAATGGGCAGTCTCTGTCATGCCACATGCTTTCCTATCGGCTGCAGTCCCTTCCCGCGCTAGTGTGTGAGCTTTAGGCACGCCACCTCCTAAGCCGGTGGCTCCTGGTTTGCTTTCCATCATCAGGCAAGATCACAGAAGAGGAGGCCAGGAAGTCTAGCTACTTGAACATCGTGGGTCTTGTTGGTTCTATCGACAATGACTTCTGTGGCACTGACATGACCATTGGCACAGACTCTGCCCTGCACCGGATCATAGAGATTGTAGATGCCATCACTACCACTGCGCAGAGGTGAGGGGACCGACCATGAGAAGGCAGCAGAGGAGGTCGGGAGCTGGGACGGACTAAATTATTGAGGCCTGGAGAGTAGTGTTGAGCCACGGAGACTTGTAATGACCAGCAGGCTGCCTTAGCTTTCTCTCCCAGAGCACCTAGTGGGTTTGAACTGCCGACCTTGCAGTTAGCAGCCTAATGCCTGGTCCACAGCTCCACCCAGACTCCTTTAGTTCCCCCAAGAGCAATGAAATTGCTCTGCCTTCTAAGTGCCACAAGATTCGCCCCTTGTCACTGATCAGTTGTCTGTTCTTAGGCCAGCTCTGAGGTCTTTCATATCTGGGGCCCCTAAATGATTGGTGTTCAGACTGGGACAAATCCAGAGAACCCAGTCTGAGTGACCCTTTGCAGCCTGTATCACAGGGCTTGTCAATATCATCACCAAGCCTGCTCAGGCGACTTGGGGTTGCAGTGTAGGAGGAGGGGAGGGGGAGGATAACAGTAATCCCCAAGGATTCCAGCACATTCCAGACCTCTCTTCCTCTCTTCTTTTCCCTCACCCCACTGCTCTGACTCATCCTCCCTGGACCAGAGCCTCCGTATGGCTATGCTTTCCCAGGCCTAGCTGGAAACACATGGCTCAGGTGTTTCCCCAGGTCTTTCTGGTTCCGCAGTAAACCTGCTGGAAGGTCTAGCTGCATAAAGGCACGTCCCAGAGGGTAATTGCATGGATGCGCCTGACCCTGGCTACAGGGGCTCTTGCACTGTGTAAATCCCTTGTCTGTCTCTCGTAGCCACCAGCGGACGTTTGTGTTGGAAGTGATGGGCCGGCACTGTGGGTAAGATCCCCATCTGACGGACTCCCTTGGCACAGCAGCGGGCCCACCCTTCCTCTGTCCCCACTTGCCCTGCCTTGTGTGCGCGCACCTGCATGTCTGTATGCGCAGGAGTGTACACAGTATCAGAGGAGGCAAAGCGCTGGGGTTGGAAGGGTGAACAAAGGGGCAGAATCTCACGGAGAGGCCCTGGTGCCTCCACATCACCCCACAATGACGTGGAGGATCAGCTCTGGCACCAACTGTGGGGCAGGAGGACTTGCTGCAGCTGGTGAGGCTGTGCGTGGAGGGTAGCTCGCCCCCAGTCTGGTGCCCTGGCTCTCGTCACCTCAGATACCTGGCCCTGGTCACCTCTCTCTCCTGTGGGGCCGACTGGGTTTTTATTCCCGAATGCCCGCCAGATGATGACTGGGAGGAGCACCTTTGCCGCCGCCTCAGCGAGGTACTGCTGATACAAGGCTCCCCCCTTTCCGTGGGCCCTGCATGTCCCAGCCTTCAGCTTCACCCCCTTTCTTCCTGGCCAGACAAGGACCCGCGGCTCTCGTCTCAACATCATCATTGTGGCGGAGGGGGCGATTGACAAGAATGGGAAACCAATCACCTCAGAAGACATCAAGAATGTTAGTGGGAACGAAAGGGCATCATAGCCACCCGGGGCCCATTCACGGAGCGGGCTCTTGGTCACAGCCCTCCCAGGCTGGCCTCCACTCAGGGAGGAACCACTGGACAGCCAGAGGCTGAGCCCACCCCCCTCCCCCCACCCTTGGTTTAGCTACCCCCCTGCTTGTTTTCTCTCCCTGACTGGGCCTTTCCCTCTCTGTGCCATCAGTTGGTGGTAAAGCGTCTGGGATATGACACCCGAGTCACTGTGTTGGGGCACGTGCAGCGAGGTGGGACACCATCAGCCTTCGACCGGATCCTGGTGAGTCCGTGAGGCCTTGTGGCTTCTCAGCCTGCTGCCCTTCCCCTGTAGGATCACACTGCCCAGGACGGGCTTCCACCATTGGCCACGCTGCCCCTTCACTACTGCACTCACCCATGACCATTCCCATATGCTCAAGAGTCCTCTGTGGTTGGAAAATATGACAAGAAGCCTTTTTCTCCTTTAATAGTGAAGCCTGACATCTTAGAGCTGTGATTAAGATCTAACCGCAGACACTCAAGTTTGAGCCACCTTGTGATCCCGCTTTCGTTGGAAGAGAGGCAATGCCCTTGCCTGTTTTAAAAATTGGAAGGGAATAGCAGTGAGCCCTGGAATAGCAGTAAGCCCCAGTAGTCCTCTCCCTTACTGTGGTGGGCATGTTCCTCCAGAACCGGCACAATCCTAGGGGCTCAGAGCAAGAGGAGGAAGAGTTACTCATCCGAGTTGCTTCAGGGGAATCTGAGTGAGGCTGTAAAGCTCAGTCAGTCCTTGGCTGCTCGTGGATAGTCAGTCCCCTCTGTGGAACTCGGCCTGGGTGGGATTAGGGCCTGGAGTGTCCTCTCTCTGTCTGGGCTGAGCCGCGATGGGCGACCTAGTGTGGTGAAGAAAGTCGATGGTGCCTGGCTGTCGATTGAAGTAGTGTCTGGGGTTTTCAAGGCTTGTATTCAAACATGGAGCCGTCTAAGCAAGGACCCAACTAGGTCCACACAGGAGAAGCACGCCAGCTTGTGTGATCCAAAGATGACCATGACAAAACTCAAACATGGTGAAAAAAAAGGTATCAGAGCTAAACTTGTGAACACTCGGTTTGTAGAAGGCTGTGGAGGACAATGGGAGCCCCAAACCCATCTGCAGAGCATCTCGTCAACTGAGCCACTGGCCGATCCGCTTGAGCCAAAGGCGAGAGTCCCGAGCAGCCCTCCCGGCAGGCAGAGCCCGTTGTTGTCTTGATTGTGCTGGATCGAACTTGACACTTGGCCAGTTGACCTCCCCATAGACACGTCCTGAATTTGTACTGGGTGCAATCAATCCTCTCGTAGTTGTCCCACGACAGAAATGTCTTTCCTGGCTTTTTGAATGTTGACAGGGCCTTCTCCCCTTGACACAGTATTTGTGTTTTTGTCTTGACACTAATATGATCTTACCCTTACCGAAATAAAGATGGGCGACCCGAGCCCACCTGTCTGTGTCCCGGCTCCCCAGGGCAGCCGCATGGGTGTGGAAGCAGTGATGGCCCTGCTAGAGGGGACTCCGGAAACCCCAGCCTGTGTGGTGAGCCTCTCGGGCAACCAGGCCGTGCGCCTGCCCCTCATGGAGTGTGTCCAGGTGGTAAGTACCACTCCCCCACTCCAGCCTCTTGCCCCTGCCGCAGAGCTGGGGTGCCTGGCGTGTGAGACCAGCCTCTCAGGCCACGGGACGGGAGCATGCGGGAAGGCAGCTTGGTTAGTATGAGGCACACGGGGCAAGGACACAGTGGGCTTCGCATGCCAGCCCTGGCCGTTGTAAGCCATCTCCGCATCTCTGAGCTGTTTCTAATGAAGATGGGAAATGCTACAGCCTGTAGTGAGACTCTAGATCTCATCTCAAACCTTCCGTTTTAACCCTCTGATGTCTTTGTTAGAAGAGAAATGCAATATCCGCCCCCAATATGATTAAGACCTGGCCGGGTAGCACCTGTGTCTCCACTGGACATCTTTCTCTGAACCAAAACGAGGTTACTAATGTCTTGAGGAGCATTACAGAGATTGGAGATAATGTGCACATAGAGACTGCTGCAGGACTTGGGGAAGGCTGAGTGCACAGGAAGTGGGGGCGAGTATTATCAGAGAATCTTCCCTTCGGCCCCACAGTGGACATCCTGGCCGGGAGCCAGGGCGCCGGGCCTGATGAGTGCGCCCCTGCCTCTGAGACTTGAGAGCCTCCACAACCTACGGCCGTGACAGGCTCCTGCTTGTGCTCGGAGCTGAGTCGCCCAAAGCGAATGCATTGACTCAGCAGAGACCAGTGCTTGGGAAGCTGGGGCCGGGCTCAGCCGCCCTTCCCCACTGGCTTATCTGCAGGAACGGCCCCCTTCCCCTTCTGCTCTTTGCTTTAGAAGGCCCGTAGAGGCTGGAGATCAGGTCTTGGAATAGAGTAAGATGCTATGCACCTCTTCCCAGCTAGCTGCCCATCAAACCAAACCAAACCAAACTCAAGCCCATGCCAACTCCTAGCGACCCTGTAGGTCAGGGCCAAACTGCCTCAGTGGGTTTCTGAGTCTAACTTTTCAGGAGAATGGAAAACCTCGGGAGTCACAGGGCTCCCGCTCGCCGTGAGTAGTGATGATAGCACCAAGGCCGCCGTTGCTTCTGCGGCTCCTCACTCAGAATCTGGGCAGAGCAAGACACTCTGCCATCAGTGACAGCCAGAGCGGTGGGGGGGCGGGCACCGAGTCTGACCTTGAGGTGGCACTCCAGCAGTGTGGAGCCCCGCCCTGGCATCCTGACCGGTGCTGTGCTCCTCCCTCAGACCAAGGATGTAACCAAGGCCATGGGTGAGAAGAAATTTGATGAAGCCATGAAGCTGCGAGGCCGGTGAGGAAATGACTGGGAAGCTCACCCACGACAGAACGTGGATGCTAGAGCCGAACCCCAACCTGTAGTGCCTCCTGGGGTCTTCCCAGCGAGGGGAGGGAGACTAGCCACCAAGACCCAAAGAGGAGCTTCCATTCCTTCCTCCTCCTGTCTCAACAGCCGTTTCTTCCTCAAGAAACTCTGCTGGGTGGTGACCCGGTGGCCCGCTGTCTCTCAGGGCTGGCCTCCCAGAGGCTGGGCCCGCCGTGATCCCTGGCTGCTGTCTGAGAACCCCAGGGGGAGAGTGCGCAGGGGTCCCTATGCAGCCCCGGCTGGACCCTGAGAGGTCTGCTGGGTGGAGCCGCAGGATGGGAGCTGCTGGCTGGGAGGCCGGGCCTCCAACATGTCTGCCTCTTCTTCTGACAGGAGCTTCATGAACAACTGGGAGGTGTACAAGCTGCTAGCGCACGTGCGACCTCCAGTGTCTAAGGTACTCGCCGCTGCCTTCTCTGGTCATTCCCTCCTCGGGTTCTCTCCCTCAGCTTCTCCTGGCCCACCCACACGACAGCCTGGCCAGCGTCGTGGCCCTGTGACCGTCTTCAGTACTGGGGCCCTGCCCCGACGAAGACCCTTTTTCCTTAGCTGCCCTGGACATCAGCCCCGGGGGCTTCGTCTCCTATGGACGTGTCTGATGCCAGAGCTGGTGAGGCCGGAGAGCCGGCCAGGACTGGTGCATTCTCTCCTGGCAGGAGCCAGGAATGTAGCTGAGCCCCCTCTCCCGATGGAGTATCTATCCCGAGTCCATCAGAATTCTCTTGAGATCATTTTCCCTCTCCCTGAGGAATTCTCCCTTTGGCATGATGTTTAGGATGGACCTGCTGGCAACACATCCTAGCTCCTTTTGTTTAGCCCCCCCCCCACCCAAAAATACATTGCTTCTGGGTTTGCTCCGTAAACATGCAGGTTCCTGGGCCTCTCCCTGAGGGGTTCTGATTCCGACCAGGGAGATTCTGATGCAGGGGGACCAAGGGCCCCACTTAGGGAGCTCCTGGGCGGGAAGGCCTTGTGTGTTTATTGCGAGCCTTATGGCGATCCCTGGCAGCAGGTCTGCTGGTCTGTGCGGAAGCAGCTGCTTCCATAGGATAAAGCTGCAGCTGCAAGATCTGCTGGTGTCCCCTCCTGGGTGTGTGTGTGTGTCCCAGGCAAGTGTCGCGATTCGCCAACCACAGAGGGACTCAGAGTCCTGCCTCTCTGCCTCCCCTCATTGAGGTCTCTGCCTCTCTCTTCCCGGCTCCCCCTGCTGCCTCCCCTTCAGACGTTTAACCACACAGTGGCCGTGATGAACGTGGGGGCACCTGCTGCTGGCATGAACGCTGCCGTCCGCTCCACTGTGAGGATTGGCCTTATCCAGGGCAACCGCATGTTGGTCGTGCACGATGGCTTCGAGGGCCTGGCCAAGGGTCAGGTACGGGCCTGCAGCGGGGGCAGCCACCTACTCTGGGGCCACGGAGCAGCGGTGCGGCAGCTGTGCAGCCGGACTGAGCATCTGCTCCTTTCCTCCCCCTGCCCTTCCTTCACTGCCTGTCTCAGGCCCGGGCAGGAGCGGCTGCTCCGTGTCAGGGCGGTAGCACTAGACAGGCCTCTGAGGGTGAAGCAAGCTCTCCTGGTTGGCACAGTACCCAGCAGAGGGAGGTGCGGAATCTGTGGGGATGAGCGTAAGGTGGGAGTTTAATACGTGGGGGGAGAAAGCAGGTGAGAGACTCGGGGGAGCTAGGGGTCAGAATGCATGATGTGGCCTCAGCCCTGCACAGGCCCCTGGTGGCCCTGTCCGATGGAGACTGCGGTGCCTTTCCCCGCAGATTGAGGAGGTTGCCTGGAGCTATGTCGGGGGCTGGACTGGGCAAGGTGGTTCCAAACTTGGGACTAAAAGGTAAGTGGCATTACAGGAACGTCACGCTCTGGTCACCCTTTAGAGGTGCCCCTTGGAATTTGAGTATCGGGGCCCTCTGTTCCCACCCTCACTGTTGCTTAGCAAGAGCACCCATAGCCACCCAGACCTCTCTCAGCTTCTCCTGCATCTTCCAGCCCTGCCGCATCCGTGCCCGGGGCAGAGGGGAAAGGCAGCACAGGGCAAGAAATGGTCAGCAAGACTCCTTCTGACTCTAGTTTTTCCTTCCTTCAAATTTGCTGTTCCTGCTCCTAATTCCCCTGCTAAACTAGGACTCTGCCCAAGAAGAACTTTGAACAGATCAGCGCAAACATAACCAAGTTTAACATTCAGGGCCTTGTCATCATTGGGGGCTTTGAGGTGAGTGCCCACTGTCACCACTCCCCCCTCCCTTCCTCCATCCCTCCCTCCCCAGCCCTGGCCTCTCCCCCATTCATCGCCCCTCTGTACCTCCCCCGCGCAGGCTTACACAGGGGGCCTGGAGCTGATGGAGGGCCGGAAGCAGTACGACGAGCTCTGCATCCCGTTTGTGGTCATCCCCGCCACGGTGTCCAACAACGTCCCTGGCTCGGACTTCAGCATCGGGGCCGACACAGCCCTCAACACCATCTGCACGGTGCGAGCCCACTGCCGCTTCCTGGCCCCTTCGCCCAGGCTCAAGTAGTGCAGGCATTTCTTCAGACTGTATGTAACCAGACACACAGTGTTCTAAGTGCTCTCTAACTTGTGAACTCCCCCCTACCCTGGTGGTGTACATGTGTGCTGCTACTCTGCGCACACACACACACACCCCCGCCTCCAGAATTGCACTGCTACTCTGCATCCCAGAATTTTTTTTCTGAGAGCCCCATTTGCCTACCCTGAGCAACAGAAAGAGTGGGCATGAGCTCCTTCCCAGGAAAGCTGTTTCTCAGTGGGGTGGGAAATACGCTTTCTGGCCTGGACTGTAAGAACTTGAGGAGGTTTAGGGTATCTGCCAGGCTGGGGACAATAAAGTTCAGAGTTGACATAATGGCAGGCTTCAGCGAAGTGCTAAGCATCCAAGGCCTGCCCGTCTCTCTCTCCGACCCACCCGCTGTCTTGCAGACCTGTGATCGCATCAAGCAGTCGGCTGCAGGCACCAAGCGGCGGGTGTTTATCATTGAGACGATGGGTGGCTACTGTGGCTACCTGGCCACCATGGCGGGGCTGGCAGCCGGTGCCGATGCAGCCTACATCTTTGAGGAGCCCTTCACCATCCGGGACCTGCAGGTAGAGGAGAGCCCACTCGGCAGCTTCCCCAGCCCCATCCCGACACATTGTGCCCTCCGGTGAGGCCAGAACTAACTGGTCTGTAGGGTCCTGCAAGGGCACACCAAAAGGCCCCAGGCAGGCCCTTCCTAGACGCCCTCATAACTGGGCGCCATCCTGAGTCAGGATGCCTTTACGAGCCTCTTATCCTCGCAAGGGGCCTGCAACAGAGGGAGCCCTCTCCATTCTCCAGAGATGGGCTAGAGTTAAGAAACGTCACTGGTTCAGAGAGAGGGTTTGTTCTACTCTTATCACCCATCCCGGTTTCCCTTCATTCCATTTCAGAAATACTGTTATTTCTGGTGGAAGTGCACCCAGCCCCACAGGGCCCCGTTCAACAGTTTCCACACGTACTGCTCAGCGGTACTGGCCTCATGCTTTCTTTGGTGTCCCTGTGGGTGCACAGGGCTGGCTGTTTCCCATAAAGGTAGATGGACAGTAGCGGCGTCTCTCATCTCCTGTGCCTGATGTGGTCAGGGCCCCGTCTGTGCTTCCTGGGGTCGCAGTCTCGGTGCTAAACATTGGGTGTCACCGGTGTGAAGAATGTACACAGCTAATCACCCGCCGGCTCAGACATTTCTGCATGTGACCCTGTCATCATCGCAACTCTGAGGGGGTACCTTCCCCTTGTGGGTGGGCACTGACTCCCGTTTCACAGAAGGACCTCATGATCCTTTCTAAGATCCCAGTATATTCCAGGAGAACACACAGTGGGCAGTTGGGGGGGGGGGCAGCAGCCTGAGGGGACCCCCCACTCTGAATCCGGCCAGCTCCTGCCAACAGTGGAGGGCGGGGTCTGGCGCCATCACCCCTAACTCACAGCCCAAGAGAAAGGAAGGCGCTCGCTCTTCCGGGTGAGTCCCCGGCTAGTACCCTTTGGATAGGCCTGCGTGAACAGAGCCAGCTCTCCGAGGCACGTGGGGAGAGCCAGCAAGGGCAGCTGGAGGGGGCCTGGCGAGGGGCGAGGACCCACACGGTTTCTATGACACTCTCTAACTCATCCACTTCCCGTTCAGCTGGCCTTAACTGGCGTCTTGGTTAAAATTCCAGCCTGCACTGAACTGCTTCAAGGAATCAGGCAGAGCTCAGGCCCAGGGTTGCAAACTACTCCCGTCCCCCTTGCTCTCCCTTCTGACAGAGGCCCAGAGTGGAAGAGAGCTCAGCGCCCTAGCCAGCCCTCCTCCACAGCTCGGGTCAGCGTGGCCCTTACTGTTTCATTTGCAGGCGAACGTTGAGCATCTGGTGCAAAAGATGAAAACGACCGTGAAAAGGGGCCTGGTGCTAAGGTACCTCACCCAGGGTTTGTTCCTAAGAAAAGAAAACAAACTCAAGCCTGGGCCTAAACCCATAGAACCTACAATGCCCAAGATGGTGGCTGGGACACCCTGAGCAATCGATGGATGCAAAGTGGGGTGGGAGGGGGGCAGCTTGGGCTCCACAGTAAATAGAAAAGGGAAGAACAGGCCACCAAGGCTTGGAGGGGGTGGAGAGATGAGACAACTAAGTCCTGCGATTTGGGTCTCTGCCCGGCAGGAATGAGAAGTGCAATGAGAACTATACCACTGACTTCATTTTCAACCTCTACTCCGAGGAGGGCAAGGGCATCTTCGACAGCAGGAAGAATGTGCTTGGCCACATGCAGCAGGTAGGCCAGGCGTCCCCAGCCATGCCCCTCCGCAAACCCTGAGCAGCCAGTGAGGCGCTTCCGGCCTTCTGCAGTGTGCGGGAGGCTCTATGGGCCACCCTGGAGAATGGGCCTGCAACCTCTTAGCGCTATAGAATCACAACTTCTCCAACCGGGAAATGAAACTGTCTGATCCACCCTCTGCACTTAGGGCACAGTTCCTTAGCCTTGGGGCAGGAGCATCTTGGGCATTGTAGGTACGTTGGTTTAGTAACAGCTCTGGAATCTCCCACCCACTAGATGCCATTAGCACCTTCCGCCAGGTGAACACAGTCTTTAGAGACTGCCAGATATTGCCTGGGGACAAGGTGGTCCCCCAAGATAGCTGATGAAAAAGGAGGCCTGTGGGAGACATTGTTTCCCAGGTCACTCATCGAGTCAGGGCCAGAACAGGGCCAGAACGAGGCTCGTGCATGCTCTCTTCCTTCTTGGCACCATGTTGTCACCAGAAACCGACCAAATAAGTACAGGTCCCTTCCTGTGCTGGGCTCCCACTGGGGCTTCCAGGGGGAAGGGATGAAAGGATGCCTTCCCTTCCCTCACATGCTCTTGCTGCTCAAGGTTGGTCCCACTCCCAGATGACCCTGCCGGGTCCCAAGTCCCCCCACCTGATGCCTTGTAAGTGTTGACCTTCCTTATCTCCAAATGAATTCCCAAGGTCTCCGTTTGAAGGAGTGTATCAGCTTTGATTCAGGTCCCATCATTGGGAGACTGACGTCACAGGTGCTCCTGGTTGAGAGGACGAAGGTGGGGAAAGAGAAGGCGTATTACTGGATAACGTTTGAAGATCGGTCCATGTCTTTCCCTACCCTTCTCGCATACTTCCGAGAAAATCTTTGTGAAGAGCCAAGCTTTGGCTTGCTTACCCAAAGGCGGCCCATTTGAACTCACCAGGAGGTGCCTCAGAAGGCAGGCCTGGTGATCTGCTTCCAAAGGTCACCACCTTGGAAACGCTGCAGTCTGCACACATGGGCCACCCCAGTCGGCCCCGACTCGATGGCAACTAACTTCAGCAACCTAGGCCAGCCAGGTTGGGCCACAAGCAACACTTTAGTGTCATCAGTGATGGACAGGGACTTACCAAGATCTGACAGCTACAGAGCTAGGGTAGAGAACTGGGGAACCTTTCACCCCATTTACCTTAACCAGTTGCTCCTAAGAACTCAAATCCTCACACACTGCCTTTGAGGCAGCTCTGACTCACAGCAATCCCATGGGGCAGGGAGATCCACCCCTGTGGGATCCGAGACTACTCTTCATGGGCGTAGAGCAAGGGGCAGCTGGTGGTTTCCAGCTCCGGACTTTGCGGGTAGCAGGCCAGTGAGTAATCTTCGACACCCCCAGCTGCGGCTGGTTGCTGCTCTTCCTGTGCTCACACAGGCTGGACACTCCCCCGCAGACCTGCAGGTTCCTGCCTCTGCCGACACCAGCCTGCCTCGCCCTGCTGTCTGTGTGTCTCCGCGGCCACATCGTTAGAGCCCTTCGCTCTGTAACTCTTAGGGTTGACTTTCCAGGGTGGCAGCCCAACTCCGTTCGACAGGAATTTTGCCACTAAGATGGGTGCCAAAGCTATGAACTGGATGTCCGTGAAAATCAAGGAGAGTTACCGTAATGGTAAGTGGGGTGGCTGGGTTGGGGAGCCCCCTGACCCCCACAGAAATGGGCTCCTCAGTGGGGAGGCTGACGGGGCATCTCCCTCTGGCAGGGCGGATCTTCGCCAACACTCCGGACTCAGGCTGCGTTCTGGGAATGCGGAAGAGGGCCCTGGTCTTTCAACCGGTGACCGAGCTGAAGGACCACACGGATTTTGAGTGAGTCCATCTACGTCCTAGAGCAAGCGGTCCCGCCCTCCCGCACTGTGTCAGGCACCCTCCCCAAGCTGCAGGCTTCCTCTCATTGGAGTAACCACGTCACTCTGTATGCTCTGATCCGAAGGGAGCCTCTGCCCAGCTCCTTCCATGTGTTCGTGGGAACAGTTGGTTGGGGTAGTCAGGATGACCTCACCATCCGCCCCCATCCCTCCATAGGCATCGCATCCCCAAGGAGCAGTGGTGGCTGAAGTTGAGGCCCATCCTGAAAATCCTAGCCAAGTATGAAATTGACTTGGACACCTCGGAGCACGCCCACCTGGAGCACATCAACAGGAAACGCTCTGGGGAGGCCCCCGTCTGAGCTCCGTGAAGGGGATGGATGGATCGCCCCACCGTGGTCCACTCGCCCATGCTAGATCCAAGTGCACATGTTGGCGCCGTAGCTTGTTTCCCTTAGGTTTCCTTTCACTCTGTAACCGCAGCCATTGTCAGCTCTGGCCACGGGGTAGGGCCAGGGCCAGGGGCGGGGAGGGGAGGCCCCTCCTAGGTAGGGTTCCTTGTGACCTCTGCCCCACCTGCCCCAGCTTCAGCTGTCACCCACGGCTGTGCTCTAGTGTCACTGCCCCATTTCAGTTACTCGGTTAGAATTTTCCTTAAAAATAAGCTTTATTTATTTGTTTCCCTGTAATAACGACGTCTCGGCGCCCTTGAGTACGGTGACAAGCTGTAACCACACTAATAAATGCCAACTGGCCACCGTGCTGCTGGTTCTCGCTCCTCCACTAGCATGCTGCCAGGCATCAGCCTGGGCGGCCCCGTGCCCGAGTGCTGCCCACGGGTCACCCCTGCACCTTCCCCCCATTGCTTGGATGGTGTTGTGCAGATTCTCCGGTCTTTCCCCAGCAGGTTCCCAGAAAGCGGCACCCCTTGTCTGCACTCCATGCTGGTCCCTCCTCATCTACAGCCAGGTCGACGCTGCGGCCCCTCACGTGGTGTTTTGCCTGTGATCACACACCCAATGTCCACAGGTGCTTTTTTCCAGCCTTCCCAAGGGCTCTGCTCCGCCCCTACCCGTACCCAGGCTCCTTCCGTCCCAGCCGGTTCTGTCGGCTCCCACCTGGAGGAAAGCCAGGCTCCCTTTGATGGAAGCGGCGTGCGTGCGTGCGTGCGTGCGTGGGGTGGGGGTAGAGACCCCAGCCCGGGATGTGGTTTGAGAGGTGGGCTGGATGTTACTCTGGAAAGACGCCAGTTGTTCTTCAGCTGCAGCTTGTCTTCTGTTTCAAGAAGAACAGCTGCCGCTTCCTCCTCAGTGCCCAGGCAGTCACTGTGGGGCAGGGCCCCGGGAACCAGGGCGGGAGCCTCCTCTCAGTTGACAGGGTGGCGCCCCATTTTAATCTCAGGTTTAAGATCCACTTTCACCGCCTATACCCTGACTCAGCGCAGGCACACACAGCCCTCCCAGCCAGGGTAGTTTCCTCCTTTGCCTGTCAAAACGAGGAGGAGGTTCAAGGGCTTAAAACAAAACACCACCAAAAAAAACGGTCCTGGCGATTCTGAATCACAGGCTCCCTGTAGGTAGAGTGTAGCTGCCTCATAGACTTTCCAAGGTTGTCTGCACAAAGCAGGCTGCTGTGTTTCTCAGGCGGGTTCAAACCGCTGACTTTGTGGTTAGCAGTGGAACGCTTAGCCTCTACACCCGCAGGGCTCCACAGGGCTGAGGAAGGGCTTATCCCTGTGCACCACTTTTGCCGGCTGATCACCCTAAAAACAGTTCTGAAGAGAGAACGAGAAGGCGTGTTGTAAGAGTCCGCAATGAAAGCCGCCAAAGGACAAGCAACTGAGAGCAAATATGAATTACTGTGCTGAGCATTTTACACGTTATCACCGGATTCCCCAAACAGCCTTACGGAGAGGAGGGTGGCAGCCCCGAGGCAGAGATAAGAACTCAGGGTGAGTACATCTGTCTCCAGCCTGTCTTCAACAAGGCTGGAGCTCAGACCCAGTTCTGGCAACTCGTCTCTGCTAGGCGATGCCAAAGCCAACCCCATCGTTGCCGGAATGGGTTGGAAGCCGGGAAGTTCAGGTGCTCGCTCGCGCAGCAGCTCTGGGTGGTAATCTGGAAGAGTGATGTGCTTCTGGTGTAGTTTCTTGTTCTAACATCTTCCATCCTGGAACTGCGGGCTTAGGGAAATAATGAGGAGGGGCGGGATGGCTGGGGGGAACGGCCCTCTGTAAGGTAAAAAATGATCCATCATTTGTAGAGTTGGGAAATTTAGGATCACGCTAGAGAAACAACAGTGAGGACATCACTGAAAAATACGAATCGTTCTCAGATCAAGATCAGTGAAATAGGTTAAACTCAAACTCGTACGTGCAAGGGAAGGATTTATTAGCCACGGGCTGCATGATCGATTAATGAGAAAGCAGGACCCCATCCCCATGTGAACAGGGTATTTTCCCTCTCCAGAATAGCATGAGAATGAAATGTTATTCTCAAGCCTCGCCCGAGTATTAGTCACCCGAGGCGCACTTACATTTTATTGGGAGCTGTTACAGGCATCACAGCATCCATCGTTCGGTCCCATCAAGCAGCGTTGTACAGCTGCTACCAAAGCCGAGCACTTTAAAGTTTGTCACCCTAGAATATACTCCGTAGAACATTTGACCAAAAACAAAAAACAGCCCCCCAAAGCTCAGCAGGCGGGAAGGGGCAAGAGGGCAAATGGAAACCCGGAGCCTGGGGAGGGAGAGGCAAGAGTGGGGTTACACTGAAGGATTGCAACTAATGTTACTAAATTGCCCTGTGAAAACGTGAGCACGCTCCTTCCTGGCCCACGTCCATTAAAGCATCTCTGGAGGCCAGGCCCAGGCCTCAGTGTTTTCAGAGGTGTTGAAGGGAGGCCCAATGAGGAGCTCAACTGGAGAAGCCCTGGCGAGAGCAGCCTCTGAAAATGAATAACCACCCAGGTCCCTAAACAGGCCAGGGGCATTCCTGGCTGCAGCGTTCCTGAGCAGCTCCCTTGGTGAGCTAATGTGCAGCAGAGGGTACAAGCCATAAAGGCAGTAATTCCAAATAAGGCGTTGGGGGGGAGGCTTCTCCAAGTCACTGCCCTCTTCCAGTTCTCTCCAAGGGCATGCTGAGACCCTGGCCAAGGGGAAAGGGTGGGGTGGAGACACCCACTGAAGACCTGGCTAGGAGTGGAAGAAAATGCGGAGAAAAGCAGGGACAATACACCAAGCCTGGTTTTAGAAATATTTATTTACTGAAGTGGGCAAAACACAACAGCAAAAAGTCAAAACCAGACATACTTTATGAAATTAGTGTCAACACATTCATTTTCTTTATAGCTTTATTTATTTATTCTTTTAATTTGTAACTGGCCATCTAAGACCAGTAACAACTTGATCTAGTTTAGGAATATGGAGGAGTATTGTAGCTAAGTTTGTGGGAGAATTCTATTCACTTTTCCCCCCACAAAAATTGAAGCCCCCTCATATTGTTGACTGTAAGAAATCTTTTAAGAGGGTAGATGGGTCATTTCAAAAGAAACTCTTAAAAACTGTTCCCCCACTCCTTACCCAGCCTACACCCACCCCCAACCCCCAAGTCTTGTGCAGACTGATAAAAAGCAGTTTCCAAAACAATGAAATGAAAAACAATCCCCACCTCTTAGCAGGGCAAATTAGCTTTCCATGGAGAATGGAGGAGACCCTTGGAAAGTGAAAGAGCAAATGCCTTTTTCTACAACGAGGTGCAAGAAATGCCTGCTAAGTCCCATTCGAGCAAACTCCGTTTGAGGGAGGGGAGCGACGTGGACCGTGTGGGAAGCATTACAGTAACCACTGCAGCCTGGGCAGACGGGGGAAGAGTGAAGCCCGCAGTCTCCAGGGACGGGGTTGGGGCTGGGGCTGCCCGTGACGTGGCTCTCGGGGGTCGGGGAGGTCTTTGGGCCCAATCGGACTCTGCACACCACTAGAGGCCGCAGAGACCTTCGTCTCTGGGTCAAAACCAGATGTTCACTGGCATTGTGTTTTCTTAAACTCGTCACAGACCAAGAATGGTCCGGGGAAAATCAAACACATGCTTTAAACGCTTTTTGAATTCCTAGAGAAATGCAATCGCACCGTTCGCGAGTCTTTCCCTGGAGGGAGGGACGGGAGGACAAGGCAGACTGCTCTTTCACAGGGTGCAATAGAAAAAGCAAGCAAGCAATAAACAGAAAACAAGAGTGAGGGCCTTTTTTTTTTTTCCTGGTTATGTTGTTTGATCGGTTGGCTGGTTTGGAGAAGGGGGTGGCGTGTGGGTTATTGTTCTGACACGTTGCCGCCAAATGATAAACTGCGCAGCAGCAGTGGCTGCTTGTCCTGTTTTCCATACCGAAGACACAGTCCACGGGGCACCCCTCACTCGGAGGAGTCGCCCCCTCGGTGGTACAAGCGCCCCCTCCAAGCTATTCTACGAGCAGCAGGTATTCCTTCAGGGAAGCTGGCAGGGGGAGGCCCTTCACTGCTTCTGGCAGGTACTGGAGCCCCAGGCTGCGGCGCACGGCATAGCGGGACAGGGTCTTTAGCGTGCCCGGGGCCGAGCACAGAACGGTCAGTTTCTCACACAGCTGCTGGTCTCTGGCCACCTCTCGGGGCATGGTGCCGTTTTTCCGTAGCTCAAAGTGTCCAACAGCTCGGTGGAGGAGCTCAAAGCAAGAGTCCTCTTTCTCGGTTCCGAGTCCCCTGACCAGCAGAGCCACCAGGCGGGAGATGGGTGTCTGGCCTTTCAGGTTGACGACCCTGACCTCTGCCCCGTAGTCGAGGAGGATGCTGACGCTCTCCAGGTTTCCCTTCATGGCAGCCCAGCTGAGTGGCGTGTCATTGTTGTAATCCAGGGCATTAACGGAGGCCCCGCTCTCCAGGAGGGCACGCACGCACTCGGCGTTGTTCTTAAAGGCCGCCCAGTGAAGTGGGGTGTCTCTGTTCCCGTCCAGCGCGTTGGGGTTTGCACCGTACTCCAGCAGGACCTCCACACAAGCCTCGTCCTTCTCAGCTGCATAGTGGAGGGCAGTTCGGTTGTAGCCGTCCAGGGCATTCACCTGCAGAGAGGGAGACTGGTGACAGGAGGCAGACACTGGAAGGCAGAGAGGGCAGCAGAGCAGCTGGCATGTTCTTCCCCTCGCCTCTTACAGCAAAGGAGCCCTGCTGGGTGGCTCTGTGAGTTAGGCGCTGGGCCGCTAACCACAAGTTTGGTGGTTCAAACCCACCAGCCACTCCCCAGGAGGAAGATGAAGCTGTGGGCTCCTGTAAAGATTTATAACCTTGGAAACCTACACAGGGTCCCGGGGAGTCAGAACTGACTTGGCCGTGGGGCTTTTCCCCTGCAACATCCTCCACGGGAGGGTCAACGAGCAAGTCCCAGGGAGTCTTGGTGATCAAGGAGCTAAGATAGGCTTCGGAGATCATGGCAAAAGCTCTGTGTAGATCTAATCACAGCGTAAGGGCCTCTACACTTACAACTCCTGGACAGTCAGCAGGCCTGAAGAGGACGAACCGTTAATGTAAACAACCAGCAGACAGTGAGCTGGAGTCGTGGTTCTTAGAGTGACGACCCGGGGTTGTTTTATATACTTGCCACGACATTCGCGTTCTAGCATGGGTATACCAATGTCACCATGCACTCGAAGTGAACGTGGAGGTGGGCAGAGATGGGGCAGAGACTCTAAGAAAATTCGAAGCTCCTAGAGCTCAGGGAATCATTCATGGGAAGATGCTGAAAATATTACCTCAGCTCCCTTTTCCAAGAGCAACTCCACACAGTCGGCATCTGACACCATACAGGCACAGTGCAGGGGCTTCAGCGTGCCGTGGGTACAGTTCACATCTGCTCCCTGCTGGCAGAAGAGACCCCGGTCAGTGTGCAAAGCTCTGGCACGCTGGGCAGGGCGAGAACTAGGGGCAGAGGGAAGTTCAGGTCCTGACTATACCATAAATATACTCCTGGTTTCCAGATTCCACTTTTACAAATTAGATCATTTCAGCGCCGATGCTCAAACCCAGAGAATACAGCAGGGGGTAAATGAGAACAAGTGCCAATCCCTGAGCTCACCCCAGTAGTTTCTCCATAAGGAAGTCTGCCTCTGGGCCTCACTGAGGACCTAAACGGGCATGGGAAAGCACTGTCAGCGGGCAGGGCAGCTGGACCAGAAAACCACCTGTTTTTGGCCACTAGGCTTTGAACATTTCAGGAAAATGAGTGTTAGACTGAAACCAGGAGAACTAGGCGGGCTTTGCGCGTGCTATCACTCAACAGATGGCCACCACGAACTGCGTGGTCATTTAGTGTTCTCTCCGTATTTATTAACATCTTCCAAGAAGCCTCCCATCAGCAGCATTCTGCCCCCCCCCGCCCCCCCAGCCCAAATCTGATCAAGGAGATGGAGATACCACAGGCAGGTCATCATCACGGGAGACTCAGCGGCAGAGTTAGGATTAGGAGGTGACAAAGTCTCTGCTGCTGAGTCTCCTGATAGCACTTTTGTGAGAATGAGCTAATCCACTGTTGCCCTCTTCCTTCTCACTGACGTGCCCCAGAGGAAGGGGCTCCCAGCGATAAGTAAGGAGTTTAAAGGTTATTAAAGTGAATGTACGCATGTAACCATCTGGATGCACTGTCTAATGACCAAGAAATTGTTCTGTACTCAGAGAACAGAGGCTCACACACCAGAATACAAGGGAATTACTAGAGAGTGAATTATCTTAAGATACACATTACCATACATTTGTCTTTTAGGGGCTGATATCCTCACCAGAAGTGCTAGATTTTCTGAAAACAGAAGGCACAGGGACTCTCTTTATGGTATTAAGCCCAGACAGGAAGAAAGGCTCTCAAGGAGATGGAAACCCGCCCTGCTTTGCTTGCCGTCTCCGCCTTCCCTCAGTACATGGAGAGAAAGCTTGGATGGAGCTGAATGGATTCCATGCAGACCATATCCAGACAGGTTTCACAAAGAAAAGGAGGGGTTGCAAAGAACATTCCATGACGGAAAATATCAGGCATACAAAGAGACGGGGAGGAGGGAAGAGAAGCAAAACATAGGGAAATAAATCTTAACAAGTTAATACATTTAAGAAGACCCTTAAATGCAGCCACCCTTGTGACCTTGGATTCAGTCAAGGCTGAAAATCTGTCAACAACAACTAGATCCACCCCCACCCACCCCGTGCGTTTTCCCGCCTTACCTCCCCCCTCATCAAAGCCTTATCCTCCGTCAGGGCACACTCACCCCTCTGATGAGGTCCTCTACATTATCATGTGGGAAGGAACGGATGGCAGCGATGGTTCGAATTAAGCGCTCTGAGAGAGAGTATTTGCTCTGAATGCTCTGCATAATGTACCACATACTGGAACTCATCCAGGCTCAGAGTATGTTCACATGCTCCAAACAGCCTGAAACAAACACGGGTTAGCGTACACAGTACCGCCGAGACACCTGTCCTCAAGGCTGGGGCTCTGAGGCCTTCCCACTACTACAGATTTCCAAAGATCCTGGTTCATAGGCCTTTTTTTCTCAGTCATAAGAAAACACAGATGCTAAAAGTCACTTAGGGAGCTGAATAAATGTGGAGGCCAATGCTTTGATCCTTAGGACTTCTGTCCCACTCTTGACTTGAATCGTCTAGACAAGACTTCTTCAATAGGTATGGAGACACCCAGTGCTATGTGGTTACACAGAGGAGGCAGGGAAGTGGATTTTCAAAGGCTAGAGATATGACAGATACTTCCTTCCTCTTCTGAACCTGTGCGATCTTTATTATTTGTGCCACTTTCAGGTGATTCACTTAAGGCCACTTTTAGGTTAGGTTACCCGCCAAAGACAAATTGACCTTAGTGTACAGTAATTATTACCTAAATAGATTATTACCTGATTAAAGGACAAGGACCTTTTTTATACTCAACTGAAAAGTATCAATGACTCAAATTATGGATTTGCCCCTCTATTTTCCCTAGGCACAGGGTCTCACAAAAAGCACACATTTAATTCCTCAGGGTTGGCTAACGGAGAAAAAGCTAACGCAGCCATTCTTTGCTGGGAAAAGAGGGGGAGGATGCTGTGGACCAGAGGCAGCTGTGTTACTACTAACAGGGCCCCCTCAAGAGGCTTTCATATAAAGTCTTCAGCAAAGGAGGAAACGAGGATACACTTGAAATATTCTAACTGAAAGTGGGAAGCAAAAGTGCAACTGCTCTGGAGTCCGCCGTATAAAACAGGAGGGGAAGCCCGTGGTCACACCAGTCACCTGCACTGTCCAGTGTTAGGAAAGGAAACTTAAGCCTGTACATGGAATTCCTTATTTGAGTAACGGGTTGTTTACGACAACTGAGAAGTAGACTGGGGTAAATGTATCAGAACCACAACATGGCAGATGATGTCAGGACAGAAGGAACACACTTGACTTCAATGCAACCATGTTATATAAGATGGTTCTGCTCTGTCAGAGGTGCGGGGGGGTGGGGGGGTGGCGGGGGACGGACGGGGACGGGACACGACAATTAACAAAGGTGGAACCTTTCTAGGAAAAAAGTGCATTATCAAAAACTGTACAGAAAGCCATCTACAGTAACAACTCTCTAGGTGTACTTGCTTAGGAAATCTGTATTCTTAGAAACTGTTAGCTCCTTGGGGGTAAAGAAAGTATTTCTTTTAATAGCACCTAGCTCATGGCAGGTCTTCAAAAATTACCTTTTAAACCAATGACAGTGTATTACTTTGAACCCTAATAAGTGTAATTCTTCTTATAATGAAGCACATTATAAGTATGATGATTACTAAGGGGATTATAATTTTGGTCATCTCATAATAGACATATTTTGCTTTTTGTATTGGGAAATCCCATTATACATGATGAGATACACTATAAATTCTAATAGTTTCTTTTTTCCTAGTCTGTAGGCATTTACACGTTTCAGAAACATTCAGTAACGATTAATAGCCATTTTCACTTTAATCGAAATGAGTTAAGTAAAAAATACTGTAAGTACCAATGACTCAAATGGCAGATTTGCCCCTCTGTTATGAATGAATGAGTTTACAGGTTTACGTACATGTCTCTGATATTTTTTAACTATTTGAGATTTGGTGTATATTTTAATCTTTCCCGCTTGAGAGAGGACGGTCTACATCTTGTAAATCCATGTGACAAAGAATTAAGTGGGCGGGGAGGGGGGTGCATTTGAGTTAGTGATACCAAGAAAGGGGCATCTACAACTGAAGACATTCCTAACCATTTCTGGGGGCCCGGCATCTTTGAGAAACCGAAGAAACAGCCTGCACTGGTGTTCGGGGGGTTCTTGGGCCCAGACACGGGATCTCTAACCCAGAGTGAGGCCACAAGCTATACTATACTGTCTGATGCTGGCCGGAAAGCTCTCGGTGGAAGATGGAGACTTTGGAGCAGACCGACAGCGTTCCCTGCCAGGAAGGGAGGACCAAGGAAATCCTAACAGGACCTCTCAGAGCACCCGTGCACTGCGAGCCTCTGTTGGGCCCCTTCGTCGGCAACGGCTGAAAGCCCCCTCTCATCCCCGTTCGCTTTCCCTACAGGATCGGGAGAAATCACCAACGGGTTTTTTATGGCGACGCTGGAAACAAGGTGGGAGAGAGGAGACATGCAAGTGCCGGTGCCAGCGAGGCCCGGGCTTGCATCCCGCGAGATGACCGTCGGCCGAGGGCAGAGGCGCCCGGTCCCGCCGCACTGGCCGGGCCTGTCCCGGCTCGCAGCAGCCGGGTCTCTCCGAGACCAGGGCGCGCAAGGCCAGCGCTCGCCCTGCAAGGACGTGCGGTGCCAGTTGGCACATGGGCTCTCAAAAGGTCGCCGCGAGCCGGGCAACCCTGCCGGTGCACCGGGGAAGCCCCCAGCAGCGGACCCAGCCTCGCCCGGGAGCGGCGCCCCAGGACCGGAAGGGAGTCGTACGGCCTCGCGGGGGTGGGGGGTGGGGTGGAAAGCGTTACTGGGGGTGGCGTCCCGGGGCGAGGGACCTGGCTGCAGACGTGCCCGCAGCAGACTCACCGAACCGCCAGGCTGAGCGGGGCAGCGGAGCCGCTGTCAAGGCGTGACCCGGAAGCGGGAGGGGTCGCGGCGGCGCTTCGGTTTCCAGAACCAGCCCGACTCCGGAGGGCGCCTGCGCAGTGACCGGCGCGCCGCGCGCGCCTGCGCAGACCCGCAGCACCCGCTCGCCCACCGAGGCCCGGCGCCCGCGCTGCGCGCTCGTTCCTCCCGAGGCTTTCCGCCGCGGGGAGAGCCCTCGTGGGCGCTGGCCTGCAGCCGACTCCGCACCTGCGGGAACCAGGCCTGCGCGCCCTCGTCTGCCGCCGTCCTGCCCACCGGAGCACCTCCCGCGAAACCAAACCCTGTGCCCACCCCGGCACAGGTGCTTAGAGGTTTCAACGTTTTCAGGAGCTGCCTTTGGGCAAAGAAGAGACTTCAGGGTGTTTTCCAAACCAGGTGTTGGTAGAGGTCCACGTGCCCCGGGACCCCAGCAGGAGATTGCCCGCCCTCCCGCTGAGGAACAAACAACCACTTTCGCGGGGTGGGGGCACAAGGGTTGAGTAAAACGCTGACAGCAACCCTTCCTCCTGGGAGAGCCACGCTGGCACTTCCGAGAGAGCGCGGTACTTGACGTGCAAAGCATAAGCATTCCAAGCACGCTGCCTGCTCTAAGCAACACCATCTAAGGTTTGGAGACCCCTCAGGGGGTCAGACGGCCCATGCAGTTCCCGCCCTGTCCGAGATTTGTACCATCCTATATGCAACCCCTGCCTCCTGGTTTTTAAAGAAGCTGAAATCTAGATTTTTTTAAAAAGGTTAATTCTCCCAAAGTGCAATCGTTTTTGGCAATAATTGTTTTCATTATTTTTAAAATCAGGCGACAATCAGCCTACGCCAGTGATTCTCAAACCTTCCTAATGCTGCAATCTTTAATACAGTTCCTCATGTTGTGGTGAACCCCCCAACAATAAAATTATTTTCGTTGCTACTTCATAAGTAATTTTGCTACTGTTATGAATCGGGCAATCCCTGTGAAAGGGTCGTTCGATCCCACAGGTTGGGAACCACTGGCCTATGCAAGGTCAGTGGTTCCATCACCAAGGGAGAAAGATGAGGCTGTCTGCTCTCATACAGATGTGTAGTTTTGGAAGCCCTATATATAAGGTCTGTTGGAATCTATTAATGGGCAGTGAATTTGTTTGTTTGGGGGAGTGGGGGCTTGGTCACTGGCAGCTCCAGAGTGTTCATGTAATGGGCAGCCCTCTGACTCAAGTGGTGGGTGGAGGGTGTGAGTGTGGGAATGTGTGTCTTGGGGATTGTCTTGAAGCTGTAGTTACATATGAACCACATTGGCTTTACTTAATTTGCAGGCTTACATCACAAAGGGGGCTTGAATGAGATAGTGGCATAGTGGTTACCGTGTTGGTCTGCAATTCCCATGGTGGGGAGTTGGAACCCACCACAGCTCAGTGGGAGGAAAACTGGACTTTCTATTCCCCTAAACAGCTACAGTCAGGAAACCCACAAGGGGTCACTATGAGTCAGCCTTTATTCGGTGATGGTGGATTTGGTTTGGAAGCAGAAGCCCCATTCCCACGCCCGAGCTACCCATTTGGTTATTTTCAGGGGCTGGAAAGAACCCGCTTGGTGCTCAGTGCTTCTGAACCAGCAATCTAGGGCAGAGCCCAGAGATGATGAAACACCCTCCCACACAGACTAGATGTATCTGAGTCTGTGCTGATCCAAAAATGGAGAGATGTATTCTGGGAGCTTCATTCTTTCCCGGCCACCTGCAGAACCCAGGAAGATCAAAGGCATGTCTACAAAGGTATGTCTATGGGAAACAGCACCGATGGCAAGCACTGAAATTGCAGCCCTGTCCAAACATCAAACACCGTTTTGTATTTAACCTTACCACAATATCAGCTGAAAAATACAAATCAAGCTCATTCATCCTTTACTTGACTCATGATGGCTGTGGTAGTTGATTTCACGTCGACCAGACACAGTGGCGAGTGGAGTCTAATTCTCATAGCAGGTGACGGCAACTGCAGTGGTGACTAGAGATTGCTCAGTGGCACCCCCTTCCGGTGGGGTCCAAGGCATGTGCCAGACTTGAGTGCCCTAATCTCATCTGAATTGTTACCTGTCCAACATCCGTATCTGTCTATTCGATCTGGCTGGGGAATTATGAGGTGAGAGGCAGTACTGTAATGAGTCCCATTCCATTTAGCATGTGGGCCAAGGCCTACGCAGCCTCCTCCTCTCTAGACCTAGTGTGGCGATGCTCTACTTAGCACCACCCACAGCTCTCTCAAAGTGGTGT